TTAGCCTATTGTAATGTATTCCTTGTGGTACTTGATCAGATTTGACGCGCGAGGAGGTCAATTCGAGAGGAAAAGGCATAGCGAGCTAGACTTTGGGCCGGCTTGAGGTGAGTAATAGGTGTAAATGATGAACTGAGGGTTTGAGACCCCGGAATTTCACATCGTACCGCTATATTGAGGCGAGGCACGCGCTCTATGACGAGTGCGGGGCTGTTGGTTATTGGGGATTGTGACTTGGTCCGTCCCGGTGATGCTTTACTGTGTTTTTCTACTAGAACTTGTTGGAAATCATCGTTATTTGGATTTGACTGTTGTATTTGGGCTTCGTGCCGGTTATTTGGATCCTTCAGGGATTGATTTCACTGATTTGCATACTTTGCACATTGTTTAACCTCATTCCAAGGTTTTAAGTACTATTTTTGCAAACCCAGCCCCTTTTTCTAAACTTGAAAATTCAAATAATATTTTAAATGATATTTTGGGCTGTGGATTACTGATTTAAAAGTGCCCGAGGGGCTTAATGTGATTTTCTGGATTTATGGATGGCTCGGGCTGCACGCCGCAGCAGTACTATGTGATATTGAGGCCGAGGGCCTGGTTGGTGCCACGAGATAGCTTATTTGCGCTTGGGCTGTAGGAGCCCCTCCGGAGTCTGTACACACACCCTAGTGAGCGCCGTCGACGTAAAATATATGGTTGGCTCGGACTGCACGCCGCAGTGGGTACCTGAGCGTACCGATAATTGCATTGCATTGCATCATTGCATCATTCCTTACCTGTTACCTATCATGGTTCTTTCTGTAATACTACTTTATTGACTTGTCGGTCTCACTGTTAAAGGTTTGGTACTGCCGTTATAGTTGCCTTGTGTTTTTTTGTGATTTCTTATCTTCAGTTATTATTTATGCTTATTACTCACTGAGTCGGAGTATTCACTTTACTCCCTGCACCTTGTGTGCAGATTTAGGTGCATCGCAGTCTGAGGGAGGACCTGTCTAGCTGAGTAGCATTTCACCGGGAGCATCGAGGTAGCTGCATGGCGTTCGCAGCCTTGATCTTTCCCTCCTATCCCTATCTTTCATTATTCCGTTTCTTAGACAGTCTTGTTATTGGATGACACTCTGTATTAGAGGCTCGTGATCGTGACACCGGATCCTGTTTTGGGTTATGTTCTAGTATTTTTTGTTGGTTTTCAGTATACTACTCCGTGCTTATAGTAGTTTGATAAGATGGTTTGGTAATTTAGCATCTGTGTTCGAATTCCTGAATTATCATAAGTTGAGATTTGTTATTGAATGGTCGAGCTTGCTTAACAATGTGTTGGGCGCCATCACGACCGGGGTTTGGGTCGTGACATTTCGTCTTACACTTCTTGCTCGAGTACGAAAACAAGCTATACGAATTAGACCACCTTATCTAACACCAAGAGAAGTGATAGTTAAAACATCACTGTTTCTTGTTCTTTTTAATAATTCGTGGAAAACCCACAATTCTAAGACAACATTTTCACTGGTGCAAGTCTGGAGGTATACAAATTAGCGATGCATCCAATTTACTAGAAGAATTTAACTCTTTATCTACATGTTTTATGGTGGATATGAAAAAGATAATTTCTTGCGAGATGCTATAAGTAATCCTTTTTACTGGTACAAGCGTGAAGGTCTACAAATTAACCCATGCACCCATTTTACTTGAAGAAATTAACTCTTTAATATAGCAAATAATAATTATAAGGAGAAACAAATATATACTCATCAAACTATCCAGTGTCAACCCACCGATACAATAAAGCTTAATTTTTCACCAAAGGTCAAACAAAAATGAAAATGTAGAAATGGGAAGAAATGTGGGAAAAAATTAAATCAAAAGCAGAGCTAAAACTAAAATTGTACTAACACCCACCTGAGAAGAATAGTCTTTGAAAATCCGAAGAAACATAATAACAACACCAGGCATACATTTTAGCCATGAAATTAAGAAGTCAAAGAACATAATAAAAAATTTGGGCAGATTTCGAAAGAAAGTAGACCCGAAATTTAAAAACGCACCTGAATATTCTAAAAAAAAGGATGAAGGAATGGAATGATAGAGATCAAAGGAAGGATGATTCCAGACTTATATTGAATGTGTTGGAACAAAATGCATCTGATCTGAGTGAGCATGTGACACGTCAAAGCATTTTTATGATACCCAATAATCAAATTTACTATATTGCCCACGAATGGGTTATCAAAATAACGACCTTGCCCTTGGTCGACCATTCTTCTCTCTTCTATGTAATATATATATATATATATATATATATATAATAAAAAATATACTAGATACGGGATGCCCGTGTTGAGCACAGGCCCAACATTATGACTCATAAGAATCAATTTATGCGAATAGTATCAATAAATGATATTCTAGAGAGAAATTTACAAGTACGGTGTGAAGTACTTATGAAATTACAATAAGTTCTAAATAAGATCACATTGGAATACATGTCACAACCCATAATCCACTAAGGGTCGTGATGGTGCCGGACGCCACTGTCAGGCAAGCCAACCAAAATACTTAATTAAACTCTTATTTTATTACTCTTGAAATCTATGATTTTTCCTTCAAATTCGCCATTTTAAAAAGATAATCGTCTTAAATCAAATTAAATAATAAGCAGTTGTTATAAATACTTTACGACCATCCCAGAACCCGGTGTCACAACTGCATGAGCTATTTCTAAGAAACAATACAATACAACATCCGTCCGGAATACAGATGGACAGAAAGTAAATACAATATACTGGAAGGGACTATACTTGCAGCGAGCCGCCTCGAGTAGCGCAACTCACCTAGTCCCAGTATCATCCATGCTGCTACGCCCAGTGGGCCACTAGTAGTACAAGTGCCTGTGCAACAAAAATGCACAGAAGTATAGTATGAGTACATAAACAATGTGTACATAGTAAGTATCCCGCCTAATCTCGAAGAAGTAGAGACGAGATGGCAACTTCGACACTTACTAAGGGTCAAATAATAAATTATTAAAGCGGTGATCTCACGAATTTATTAAGGACAACAGTAGATTCAACTGAATTACTAGACAGGTAAAAAGTTCTTTTTTATAAAAAGTCTCCGGATTCATAATCCTTTAATTAACAATTATCTCAAGTCGGGGGAGCAACTACCAATATCAATAAATATCAAGGTAAGCAATATAAGCATGCGCAACTTATGCCGATGTCGTACGGCCCGATCCAACATAAATGTAAAATGTGCACTGCCGAGGGTCGAACGGCACGAACCATAGATGCATCTATTACCTCGCTCGCGAATCACCCATGCGATGCGGTTAAATTTAAATAAACAATCACCCTGCTCGCGTACCATACATGCGACGCAGGTACACATAGAAATACATGCTCAACAGCAAATCAAGAATTTTTCGGGGAATGTTCATCCCATTAGAAGCCAATTCTCTTTTAATGATTTAGAGAATAAGGTTTAATTCTCTTAGAAATTTATTTACTTGTGCTATCTGATTTAAGCAATTCAAACTGCTAATAAGATTACAAATATTCCAAGTACAGCATGCTTTGGGGTCCTAGACTACCCGGACAAGAACATAATAGTAGCTACGCATGGACTCTCGTCGCCTCGTGCGTACGTAGCCCCCACAAATAGGAGCACATAACCAATTAATTCACCTATGGGGAAAATTCCCTCTCACAAGATTAGAAAGGAGACTCACCTCGCTCCGAAGATCGATAACCGGCATTCCACGCCCTTCCGAAGACTTGAATCGATGCTAAATACTCCCAAAACTAGCTAATGATTATGAAAATTCGTTAATATACGATAAACTACTCGTATTAATCCAATTTATAACAATTCCTAACCCCGATCGAAAGGTTGACAAAAACGCCCTCGGGTCCACGTGCCCGGATTTCCAAAATTTTTGAAGAACAAGTTTACCCATAGCCTCACGAACTCAAATATATAATTTCCTCTTAATTCCATACCCAAAATCGTGGTCACATTCCAAGAATGTGAATTTCTAGGTCTTTCTACCAAAACCCCAAATGTCTACCAATTTACATGCCAAAATCTATACATAATCGATGTATTTAACTTAAGATGGATGGGAATGACTTACCTTGCCATTGAATGATGAAATCCCCTCTTGAAATCCTCCAAGAATCGCCCAAACCAAGAGAAAATGAAAGAAATGGGCCAAATCCCGACTTTAAAACAACACACTGCCTCCAGCACTTTCCGCACCTGCGGTCACTCGACCGCTTCTATGGTTCCGCAGGTGCGGCCACACCACCGCATCTGCGGTCCTTCCAATCCCCCCCTTATTTTCGCTTCTTCGCCTCGTCTACCGCAGGTGCGGTCCCGCATCTGCGGCAAAATGACCGCATCTGCGGTCCCAGCATAGCCGCCCATTCCCGCTTCTGCGACTCGACTACCGCAGGTGCGGTCCCGCTTCTGCGGGTACATGACCGCATCTGCGGTTCCTTAACTCCCAGCCCAAAGCCGAATCTGCATCTCTTCTAGCCGCTTCTGCGGCTCTGCACCTGCGGCCCAGTTCTCGCAGGTGCGGTTATGACAGCAACCAGCAATTTCAGCTTTCCAAAAATCCCATTTTTGATCCGTTAACCATCCGAAATCCACCCGAGGCCCTCGGGATCCCAACCAATCATATCAACCAGTCCCAAAACACGTTACGGACTTGCTCGAGGCCTCAAATCATATCAGACAACGCTATAACCGCGAATCGACCTCCAATCCAAGCTTTATGAACTTTAGAATTTCAAACATCTACTTTCAATGCTTAAACCTATCAAATCACGTCCGATTGACCTCAAATTTTGCAGACAAGTCCTATTCGACATTATGGACCGACTCCAACTTCCGGAATCAGATTCCGACCCCAATATCAAAAAGTCCACTTCCGGTCAAACTTCTCAAAACTTTCAAATTTCCATCTTTAGCCAAATGACTTCAAAATGACCCACGGACCTCCGAATTCACTTTCGATCGCGCTCCCAACCCCAAAATCACCATACGGAGCTACTCCCAGACTCGGAATCCCAAACGGACATTGATAACACTGAAATGCACTTCAAGCCAAACTTATGAAATTTCTTCCAAAATGCTAACTTCCACAATAGGCGCCAAAATGCTCCCGGGTTATCCAAAACCCGAACCGGGCATACGCCCAAGTCCGAAATCATCATACGAACCTGCTGAAACCTTCAGATTCCGATTCCGAGGTCGTTTGCTCAAAATTCCAATCCTAGTTAATTCTTTCAACTTTACGATTCCGAAATGAGAATTCTCTTTCCAAATCAACTCCGAACTTCCCGAAATTCAATTCCGACCATGCGTACAAGTCATAATACCTGAAATGAAGCTGCTCATGGCCTCAGACTGCTGAACGACGCGCTAGAGCTCAAAACGACCGGTCGGGTCATTACATTCTCTCCCACTTAAACATACGTTCGTCCTCGAACGTGCTGAGAACTACGATGAAGTAGTATGAAATCACTGTTTAACACTTCCTGCACCTTCCCGTGCTACCCCAACTCTGTTGAGCACATTAGCTCGATCAATTCCGAAGATATTTCTTTTTATTCAAGCAAATAAGTCTTAGAGCCCAATTCCAACATCCGGAATTCTCTGCCAGGCTTGTTCCAACATACGCTCACCGTATCAATAACTACACGCAGCACCGAAACATGACTGCATACCTTAGCTGAATTCACAACTTGCACCACTTTACTCACAGGGCCACAATAACATTCTCTGATCAAATAAATCGAAATTGCACGAACGTGATGCTATTATTGCACCTCATGACCTACATAGGTCTTGCGCTAATTCTTACAATACCGCCATAACGGAAGAGATGTGTAGAAATTCATAACCGACTGCCGAATTAATAAATCATTGGGTCTATACTCCTAACAAGAACCATCACCTTATTCTGAACCAAATAATGGTCTTAGCTCCTTAATATACTTCATATAGTCAGATTGCACTGATCCTAAATCCAATGATCTCGTCTCACCCAGTACGAATTGCTCAGGAAATAAGCCCCCCGGACATAATCAAAAGTCTCATATGATGCCACAATGTGCCAATAGGCAACCAATTCGAACGCGATACAATGAAAATGAACTCTGAAAAGGAAATCCAATTACCCCGCTCGCGAATCATACATGCGACGCAGTCAACATAATTGAACTAACACCCCGCTCGTGAATCATACATGCGACGCGGGCACACAGCTAATATGAGTCTTCCTCAGGAAAATAGGAGACAAAACACATAAAAACAGATATAGGGAACTGTACTCAACATCATACTGTTGCGGCGCGCAACCTGCTCCAAACAACATACCCATGGCGGCGTGCCACCCGATCCACCCATAAAATTCGCATAATGAGGTACACATCGAGCTAGATTGCTCATTACAATAAGATACCGAATATCGGTCACAAGCACGCTAAGTACAAAATACCATCACTGGGGAGACATATAACGCTATAAGATACAAACTCAAGCACAACTGAGGTGCGATATACGATCTGAATCTCAAGATCCATTTTGCTCATATAACATCATCGCTACGCGGAACCTCAACACATAAGCAATTCACCAAGCCGTCTCACAACTCGCACGGCGCAATACATCATTACATGAAATAACCGGCAATGAAATACGCCCTGACTACTCTTCCATAAGAAGCGCATTACTGAAATGAACACATCTGGCCTGATATAGAGCCCACATTTACATTTAAATCCATCCACAGACCTCAAGCTGATTCTGATCGCAGTGAATCAGGCCAACAACCTTTCTAAGGTTTATAACGACTCCCCTTTCTCTCATAACACATAAGAACAACCATCATAACCGGAGTAATCATCCACAGTCCACAACTCAATAAATCAAGTGCCCCCAGGCATCAATTCCCAAATCAACGATATCACCACAATCTTCATACTTGGTTTAACGTTTCGATCAATCAAGTGACTACATGTCACACTTATACAACCTCCCTGTGGGGCACGCTCCCCAACCTTCCGTGACAGATAACAAGCATGTACCTCCAACTCACCGGCCGCACTAACGCTAAAAAG